ACATCCGTCGGGACCAGGTACATTCGTCGGGACCAGGTACATTCATCGGGAAACAATCTCTCGAATTTCGGCTGCGATAGCTGACATCCCCGCCGAGTCGGCGCCGACCTGTCTTTCCATTCGTTCTATAAATTTTTCCCCTATTTCTTTTTTTCTTTTTTTACCACAAATTATTTTTTTTTTATTTGCACAGCGATTTCGAGCAGGCCTCACAACTGCCTCAGGGCATACTTTTTTTTTTTTTTTTTTTTTTTTTTTCAATTTGGACCATTTCTCGATTTATGCATGTCACTGCGCAGGGGCCATTTGATAATTACCCTTCTCTGTATCGTTCCAATTTTAACGGACGGCCCGAAGGACCCTCAGGGCCTCAGGGCATACTCGCACTACAGAACCTCACAGTAGAAAACCCCGGGAAGATAGCTAGGGCATAATACTCACACTACGACTTTCCTAAATGTATCTGACCGGAATTACAGCCTGGCCAGGCTGTATCTGACCGCAATCAGGTCCGAGCGCAGTCAAAAAGGTTTTAGTGTGAATCATAGTGAATGAGCTCTGAGATGATGAGATCATCACTCAACCAGAGGGAGCACTTGCCCGGCCGGGCATATGGTGCTTGCATGTGGGACTTGTCATCTGGGATCCCTTTTCTTGCCCCCTGTTCTGTTTTATTTGGCTGTTCCCTTCCTCTTTTCTTTGCCTTTTGCCCTTTTGGCTGTATGCAAGTGGGTCGATATGACACACGGGGTTGGGGGCAGCCGCCGCTCAACCTACATCCTCGTGGGCGGCCTTGTATACGCAAGAGCTTGTCACGTGAAAATCAGAGCGCCCAAGCGAAAAAAACGAAAGAAAGAAAAAAAGAAAAAATGATTTCGTTTTTTTATCTTCTTCCTTACAACTCCCCCTGTTCAGAAGCTCTTGCGTATACAAGGCCGCACACGTGGATGTAGGTTGAGCGGCGGCTGCCCCCACCCCCATGTGTCATATCGACCCACTTGCATACAGCCAAAAGGGCAAAAGGCAAAGAAAAGAGGAAGGGAACAGCCAAATAAAACAGACAGAACGTCCTTGGGACATCCGTTAAAATTGGAACGATACAGAGAAGATTAGCATGGCCCCTGCGCATGGATGACACGCA